GTGAGTGATACCATATTTGGACAATAAATTTTCAAAGACTTTATTGCAAAAATGTGAACCATTATCACTTATAATGGCTCAAGGTGTACCAAACCTAGGTAAAGTTAAGTCTTTGAAGAAACGCACCATAACTTGATGGTCGGCTATCTTGGTGGCTAAGGCTTCTACCCATTTGGACACATAATCAACAGCCAAAATGATATAAAGACATGCATATGAGGAAGGAAAGGGTCCTATAAAATCAATACCCCAAACATCAAAAATTTTAACAACTAGAATAGGTTGTTGGGGCCATTCATTACGCTTGGTAATCTTACCTAACAATTGGCATCTATGACAAGCCAAACAGTAGATGTGGGCATCCTTGAAAAGGGTGGGCCAATAAAATCCTGACTGCAAGATTTTTACAGCAGTTCTTTTAAAGCTAAAGTGGCCGCCACAGGCCTGATCATAACAGAAGCAAATGACAAACTCCTGGTCTATCTCAGGGACATACCTACAGATGATTTGATCTGGACAATATTTGAACAAGTAGGGGTCATTCCAAAAATATTCCTTAACCTTAGCTAGGAATTTATCTCTCTCCTGTTTGGACCAAGTTGAAAGAATTTGACTCGTCACAATGTAATTGACAATATCAGCATACCATGGGGCATGAGTTATTGCAAATAATTGTTCATCCGAAAAGCATCCGAGATTGGAATGGATTCAGTAATGGACTCAACAACAAAACGGGACAAATGATCGGCCACCACATTATCAGAGCCTTTCTTATCACGAATCTCAAGGTCAAACTCTTAAAAAAGTAAGATCCAACAGATCAACCGAGGTTTGGCATCTGCTTTGGACAAAAGATGTCTTAATGCAGCATGATCGGTATAGATAATGGCCTTGGTACCGATCAAATAGGAGCAAAATTTGTCAAAAGAAAACACGATGGCTAACAACTCTTTCTCCGTGGTGGAGTAGTTGGTTTGGGCATCATTCAAGGTTTTGCTAGCATAATAGATGACATGTTGTGCTTTCTCAACCTTTTGACCTAAGACATCTCCTACTGCATAATCCAACGTATCACACATGATTTCAAAGGGTAAGTTCCAATCTGGCGAACGGATGATGGGCGAAGTGGTGAGAGCTGACTTTAATTGTTTAAAAGTAGAGTGACATGCATTGGTAAACTCAAAGGGTATATCCTTCCCTAACAGATGGGTGAGAGGTCTTGCTATCTTGCTAAAATCTTTAATGAAACGACGGTAAAAACAAGCATGACCTAAGAAAGCTCTAATATCCCGAACAGTTTTGGGAATGGGTAAACTCGAGATAAGGTCAACCTTAGATTGATCTACCTCAATTCCTGCACTGGAGATATTATGATCGAGGACAATTCCTTTTTTTAACCATGAAATGAGATTTTTCCCAGTTAAGAACCAAGTTAGTGTCACGACAATGTTGAAGAACAAGAGTAAGATGGTGAAGGCATTGCTCAAATGATGAACCAATGACAGAGAAGTCATCCATGAAGATTTTAAGAAACTTTTCAACCATGTCACTGAAAATACTCATCATACACCGCTGAAATGTAGCAGGTGCATTGCATAAACCAAAAGGCATGCAACGATAAGCAAATGTGCCCAATGGACAGGTGAAAGTGGTCTTATCTTAGTCATCAATGTGGATAGGGATTTGATTATACCCAGAGTAACCATTTAAGAATCAATAGAAGGATTAACCAGCTAATCTTTCTAACATTTAATCAATGAAAGGCAGAGGGAAATGATCCTTTCGAGTGACAGTATTAAGCTTTCGATAATCAATACGAACTCGCCATCTAGTTTGGACATGAGTAGGAACCAATTCATTATGGCTATTGGATACGACAGTGATGCCTAATTTTTTAAGGACAACATGAATGGGGCTTACCCACTAACTATCAGAAATAGGATAGATGATACCGGCATCAAGAAGTTTGATAATTTCAGCACGAACAACTTCCTTTAAATTAGGGTTAAGTCTTCTTTGGGGATGCCTATAGGTTTTTGCATCGTTATCTAAATGAATACGATGTTGAACCACTAAAGGACTAATGCCACGAATATCATCAATGGACCACCCTATGGCTGCACGATTTTCCCTAAGAACCTTAAGAAGTTGGGTTTCCTGATTGGTAGTCAAGTCCGAAGCAATTACCACGGGAAAAGTGTCAGACTCACCTAGGTAAGAGTACTTTAAAGTCTCAGGTAGAGGCTTTAGTTCAACCTTGGGTGGCTTCTTCTTAGTTTCGAGAGTAGTGGTAACTGGAATAAATACTAGTTCAAACCTAATCTTCGGTAGTTCAAAGATTGGAGTGGAATCGAGTAAAGCATTGACCTCACCAATATAACTATCCACATCAAACTCATCACAAAAATGTGCTAAACACTGTTGGAGTGGATCCTCAGGGTAAGAGTTCTCAAAGGTGTGAGCGGCTAATAACTCAATGAGACAAATTTCTTCAATGGAATCTGAGTCAGGGGGTTGCTTCATCAAATTAAACACATTGACTTCCAATTTCATGTTTCCAAAGGTTAAAGTCATACTACCATTTCGACAATTGATCACAGCATTAGCGGTAGCTAAGAATGGTCGACCTAAGATGATAATAATTTGCATACCTTGGGTAAGTTAGGTATCTAGAACAATGAAATCAACCGAGTAATAGAAATCAGCTATTTTCACTATCGCATCTTCAATTATACCCCTTGGAATTTTGACAGAGCGATCAGCTAATTGGATCCTAATATCAGTTTTCTTCAAATTATTCAAGCCTAGCTCCAAATAAACTGAATATGGTAACAAATTCACACTAGCACTGAGATCCAACAAAGCATGGTCAGCAAACGTTTCTCCAATCCTACAAATGACAGTTGGACTCCCAGGGTCTTTTTGTTTAACCACAGATTGATTTGGTAGGAAAGAAGAATAATTTTGGGCTATGAAAGGTTCTTTTGGGATATTGGTTTTCCTTTTGACTAAATCTTTGATGAACTTTGTATAAGAAGGAACTTGTTTAATAGCAGTGAGAAATGGAATATTGATCTGAATATTTTGAAAAATATCTAAGATCTCACTGTATTGTGACTCTTTCTTATTGTTGACTAGTTGAGAAGGAAATGGGGTGGGGGGAACATAAGACTGAAGATGGATTGGATCAGATTTGGAACCTTAGTCCTCTTTAGTGTTGGGTGGGTCTGATGCACTAGACTTGGATGGTGCACTTGTAGTTTGGGTGGGTAGCTTAACTTGATTATTGACTTTCTTCCCTGACCGAATGGTTAAAATGGAGTTCACTTGATTATTTGATTGGTCAGTGGGAGGAGAAGTTCCAATGTGATTCACTTCTTTGCTTCTTGGATTGATTTCAGGTTGGCTAGAAAGGGTACCCTTTTGTCTTTCAGACAGTGCAGAAGCGAGTTGAGTCAACTGACTTTGGATAGATTGTTGAAATTAGAGTTGACTCTGAGTTAAGAGGTCAAAGTGAGTCTCTAACTTTTGAATTCTTTAATCTGATTGCTTGTTAGATTGATCAAGATTAAAGGCAAGCATTTTCAGAGTGTCCTCATAATTGGTAGCACGGTGGTGCTGTGGGACAGGAGCAACGCAATTACTCATTGGATCAATTGCAAGTTCTCTATTTTGATTAAACTGATTGGTCCTAGGAAAATATCCTGAAGGGACAAGAGGATCTTGAGGTTGTGCTGGCCTATTGGGATTACCTTGGAAACCAAGAGGACCACCTAAGTTTGTGGAGGCAAATTTTGTCTCTACGAAAAATTCGGATGGTTTCTTGTATCGGGATGATAAGTCTAACTAAAGCAATTAGCCGTTAGTTTCCTATAGATATTAAAGGCACAAACTTGTGCATCTGAAGGTTCAGATGTATAGTAGGATAGGCCTTAGTGGGATGAGATGAACTTGAACAAACATTGCATTTTGCAGTTGTTGACACGAGAGCAAAGGCATCAAATTTTTTATTCAAATCTTCGACTCCTTCTTTTAGACTTTGCATCACTGATTTGAATTCAGGTTCGGGTTTGATCTCAAAAGGATTGGAAGTTCTTTTAGAGGGATCATTCCTAGAGAATTCATCATCACAAGGGTTCCAATTTTAACTTTGGGCATTCTCAGCAAGTTCTTCTAAGAAAGCATAAACTTCTTCAGGAGTTTGGGATTTGAACTTTCGTTGGTGCATTGACTCAATTATGGTTTGGTTAGTAAGAGAAAGCCCTTTATAGAAAGAATGAACCAATTGTGCCTTCTCAAAGCCATGATGTGGGCATTTGAGAAGCAAATCATGAAAACGCTCCCAAGTTTGATGGAATTGTTCTTCATTTTTCCCTTTGAAAGTGCTTATGGCATCTCTCATTAACTCAGTTTTTTGCATTGGATAAAACTTGTTCATGAATTTTTTAACAAGTTCATCCCATGTTCTAATGGATTTTAGAGGAAGAGAGTTGAACCATGAGGACGCTTTATCATCTAAGGACAGAGGAAACAAGCGCAATTTGACACCCTCATCACCTAAATGCTGATTTTTGAAAGTACTGTAAATGGTTAGGAATTTCCCCAAGTGGACATAAGGTTGTTCACTTTCAAATCCATGGAATTTGGGCAACATATTAATGATATGGGCTCTAATATCAAATTGAGGCCCGACTGGAAAAAGAACAATATAATTGGGTGGATTCACTGTGATAGGGGCAAAATAGTCATTCAAAGTTCTAGGAGCAGGTTAGGGCCGGCCCTGGCCCAGGGCAACCAAGGCGGTCGCCTTGGGCCTCAAATGTTAGAGGGCCTTAAAATTTTGAGGCCCATAGAGGATGGAAAAAAAAAATTTAAAGTTAGGACAAGTCATGGTCGCCCTATAGGGGATGGAAAAAAAAAAATACGGAGTATTAAGTTAGGGCAAGTTTCAGACGGCACAATCTGCTTCGACACTATGCAGGATGCAACCTCTTCTATCACCTCAGGTGACAAGGTATGTTCTCTCTTCTTTCTCCTTTTGCATGAATCGATCTTTTATATATGTTTATTTCTTTTGTTCATCTCATCATTTGATTTGTTCTAATTTGGTTCGTTTGATTCGGGCCTTTACCTTTGTTCCAATAGTGAAAAGTAGCTTCCAAACTAGGGTTTTTTGTGTGTGTTTGTGACTGTGTGTGATGGCTATCAAAAGCTGAATGAATATATTATGGTTCTCTTAGTATTTTAATAAATGTGGGCCTTCCTACCTGTGTCTCTCATGGCGATCGAGTCTACAATCTATGGCAGGCACTTTTTTTCTTTTTTTTTTTCCTCTCCCTAATTCCACTCCAATCTCACAACAGCAGCAATCATACCCCTTTTCCTCATAATTTTTTGCATTTTCACATTCAATCCTACGAAAATTAAGGATCCCTTATAGTGGGTTGAGCAGTTGAGGTAATAATTAACTTTTTCGATCTCTAAATTATGCTCATACTTAAAAGTGCCAAATTAACGGTTTTTTTATATTTTATTTTTATATAAAGATACATACCACCATTATTGATGTTATTTGAAGTTGGCTCAGCTAGAATTTAAGTTAATAATACTATCAAAGCACTTGCCATCAGAATGTACAAACACATGGAAATCAAGTGCAGGCTTTAACAAAACAAAAGTTAACGGTTTTTTCTATTAATTTGCACAGGTCTTCTATAGCAATGATCAATGAATCACTGCTACTAAAGTTTATTACTCATCCTGAAATGAAGAAAGGGGTAATTGGCTCCCAAAAAGCACACAAACAAAGTGTAGTTAATATAAAGAGTGAAAGACAAAACTATATATAATAGTGGATGCCACATATAACCTAAAAGTCCCACTACTTCTTCAGCACTACAAGTTTAGCCTCCTATGTATATATATATATATATATATATATATATATATATATATATATATATATAGTCACCTCATCTCCACATATTTTTGTCATCTGTAATCATCAAATTTTAGCAGTTATATAAACAATGAATGTGAAAAAGAAGCTGCAGTTTTCTGTTCCTCGTTTCCACTTTTGGACTGTATTTTGGATACTCTGTTTTGTCTTTTCTCCTCTCCTCCAGATTCCAGTGAAAACTCCAGCCAAGAGATCATTCGACCAAACTGCTTGATTTTAGATTTTTTTTTATTTATTATATTTATTGTATGATTGGCAATGCTTAGTTATTATTGTTTCTGTTTGATTCTCCATCCATTTTATATTAATTGTGATCTTCTTTCAGATGCTAGTAGGACACTCTTCTTAGGATCTCGTGAGGTTATTTGCCTTGAACTTGAATCAAATCATTGCATATTGAGGTAATATATATTTTCTTTAAACAAAGCAAATTATTACTGTATTATTATTTTTTTGAAGTCTAGTTTTATGTTGATTATGGTTATTGTTATTTAGATTTTAAGAGATTTGATTATGTCTACAAGAAAATTTGAATCTGGGCATGAAAAAAAAGAAGAAGAAGAATTGATTCAATCTCAAAAAGAAGATAATCTTAAGTTTTTTAGGAGCAATACACAAATAAAGAGTTTAGTTGAAGATTTGGTGAATGAAGAACATATGAATGCGAAAGCAAATGAAGAAAATCTCAATAAACATAAAGATTTAATGAATGAAGATTATAGTTATTAGTTAGTTGTCTTATGCACAATACACATGCGCACAATTAAATTAGCTATAGAATTTGAAAACATCGTGTGAAAATTCTGCTCTCTTATAATTTTTTTTTACACGTGAAACTTAAGGGCCTCACATTTGAAAGTTTGCCTAGGGCCTATCAAAATATTCGGAATCTCATGGCCGGCCCTAGAGCAGGTGGGACAACCGGTTGTGCTGGTGACGATAGTGCTTGGCGGGCTTGGAGGAAGCTTGCGAGCAAGGTGGAGAGGACCAGCGGCACCCTGGTTCGGCTCAGCGGTGGAGAGCTCGCGGCGGAGATGGACTCGATGGACTTGAATGCCATGCAAGGAGAAGAACGATGGCCGATGACAGCTGTGATGGCGGCTTGGGCCGGAGGTGTGGCGACGGTAGTGCTTGGCGAACCCGGTGAGAATGGAGAACTGTGGTGCTGCACCGGCGAGACGAGAGGGCCAGATCCAGCCGTGAACGGAGATGGGGATAGTTGCGGTGGCGAGTGGTGGTTGAACTGTGGCTCGGCCGTGATGGGCTGGTGAAGAGGACTGTAAATGGGTGCTCTCAGTTGTTCAAACTGGGTTTGATTTTTTTAATTTTTTTGTCAAATTCAAACTGTAAGTTGAATAAAACTGCTACTGGAATTTGGGTTTGGGTGGTGAGGGACGGTGGTGATGTGGTTTGCACTAAACACTCAGCTACGGACCATTGGTTACCCCACTTTTTCCTTAAACTTCCAAGTCCTTGGGATGAACTAGCCCTTAAAGGCTATCCTGATTTCTTGACTCAAATTCAACGAACTAATAACCTTGGTTTTCATACAAATTTTTGTCTATCGCCTCATAAACTAAAAATGTTTAGAGGCCAAGGCCCGCAAAGAAGTCAAAAATCAGATCAGCAATACTCCAGCCGCACAACGCTGTTGTGATAAGATTCTTCAAGAAGCTTGGGACTTCATTTGAGGATCTTCAGTAAGGATTTTTATCCTTAAATGCTAAGTTGGAAATGCTTACACAGCTTTTGTATTCTCTCTCCCTTGTAAACCTTCTTAAGTTTTATATTTCCGCAAGTTTTATATTTTCGCTTGATCTTGTAACTGGTATCAGAGCTTGAACACCGAGCTTAGATTCCTAGTAAGTTCTACTGCTACAGTTCTGTATTGTGCTTTATTTACTGTTATAAATCTCATATGTTTGATTACTGTTTAAAGCCCATATTTTCCTGTTTAGCTTATTTGTCTGTAAGACTGTTTAAAAGCTTTTAAAAGGAATCTCTGGTTTTAGGCACCTTAACAGAAATCAAAAGTTCTTAAGAACCATTAACTGTTTCTTATGGCACAATCCACCTCTGTAGGATGCATTTGTAACATCGTGGGAAAAAACCACGACAATTATACGCATATCCCTCACTTTGGAACTTCAGAACCTCTCAATCTAAACATGATTGGTGCAGGAATAAACTTTATAGTTGATATGATTAATGAATGGAAAGAACAATTTCAACTTAATCTTGCCGCCATTAATGCTCAAATAGAAACTTCATTTGAGGATCTTCAGCAAGGATTTTTACCCTTAAATGCTAAGTTGGAAATGCTTACACAGCTTATCCAACCAACTGCCAATCAGGATCTATAAGATCAGATACACCAGATGACTGTTGATTTAGAAAGATCTTTAATAAAGGTACGGCCATAATTCAAGATGCCCAAAAAGCTTTGAAGTTGCTTTTTATCTTAAATGTTGTCAGGAAAATCACGAATTTTAATAATAATGTGATCCTATAGTCTTATCCCTTTTTGGGTTAAGACTAAACTGAGGAAATCAATAAATTCTTGTTCAACATCTATCTTAGTTGGAGATAGAATAGTCCCATGCTGTTTTAGTTTTGTTGAAAGGCATTGGAGATGTTTTTTATGTATACTACAACAAAATCTTTAAGGTCATTAAAGATTTTATCCATCCATCGTTGATAGATTTGAGGTGCAGTATTGAGACCAAATGGCATTACAGTCCACTGATAATGACCTCGTGGGGTGCTAAAAGCAGTTAATGGCTTAGAGTGTTTTCTCAATTTTATTTGCCAAAAACCTGCTTTGCTATCAGACTTGCTAAAAATTTTTGCTCTACGAGTTTGATTAATAAGAACATCTTTTCTATGTATAAAATAACCATCAAATATAAGATGTTCATTAAGCCGCTTATAGTTAATTATCATACGGGCTTTACCTCTTTTGACCTCACTATGGTTTCTTACCATGAAGGCAGGGCTACTATGAGGGCTTTTGGTTCTTTCGATAAGCTTCTTTTCTAGAAAGTCTTGAAATTGATCATCAAATTCATCTATATCTTTTCTGAGATAGATCATGGGTTTTACCTGAATGATGATGTGAGGGTCCTTGAGCTGTAGTCTGCAAAAACGAGGACTTCTTTGCCAGAGGGTTAAAGGATTATCAGAAAAATTTTGCCTTAAAATGGAGAATAGCCAATGTGATTCATTTAAGACAAAAATATCAGTATTTTCTTGTTTTGGTGGTGAGAAATTACTATCACAAACAGAAGCTAAATTTTCTTGAAATAGAATTTCAACAACTGTATCATCCTTTAAAGTTAAAGAAATGGTTTTTTCTTTAAATTGTAAAGGAAGATAGGAGTAAATAAAATTACATCCGAGGATAAAATCACCATGCATAAATGGGAAGCAAAGCAATTTTGGAATAATAAATTTTTTATCATTAAGCCAAATTACAATGTCTTTTGCTTTGAATTGAATTACTGTATGTGGTGCTTCTGCATCAATACCTTGTACACCAATAGGACTTTTCATAGGTTGCCATTTTTCTGCTGGTATGGCATTATATCTGCAACAGCTGGTGGTTGCTCCAATGTTAATAAGAACACAAAGATTGTATGGTTTATAGCCTTTGTAGTTAAGGATACCATTAACATAGGTATATTTCCTTTTTATTCCTTGTGAAGGAGCAATGAGGATCTCTTCTTTTCCAAGCTGAAAATGGAAAATTTTTGTGGATCGCATAGAATGGTTAGATACGGGAAGGAAAAAGGGTCAGTCTTATTAAGGACTTGTTTTCTTTTTTCGGCCCAAGTGAAACGTCTCCGAGATGGAAAATTTGAATCCTGAACATTAGAAGATCGAGGAGGAAGGAGTTTATCCCATCCAGTCTTGTCAGTTGAATGTCTTGCTGAGACTGAGTGTTGGAGCTGAGGATTCTCTTTAGTGGTTATATAAAGTTTAGAACCGAAAGCTTGAATAATCATAACCGTTGGTTCGGTTATTGTTATCTTTAGTTCAGGATTGATGTTTTCAAGAAGCCAATTTCTTGGGATTTCAAGATCGGTCCATTTCAATAGTCGTGGCTCAATTATTATGTCAAAAGGGTGAGGTTCGAACAACGCAACTAGTTTGGAGTTGACAGTTGGAAGAACAATGGTTTCAGTTTCCCTGGTGAGTTCGTAAAGAACCTTCCATTGAATTCCTAATCCAGGAGAGTCATGATCATTTTAAGGTTTGTAAGTTAAAGTTTGACTTGCAAAACCTTTTCTATATTTGAATCAGTGATGGAAACAAATTAATTTGGTGTAAGTTTGAACCAAATGACATTGTTAACAAGATTTGATTTTGAGAAGGCCCAAGTTTTTCAACTCGGTGCGTCAGTGATGAACCGAAAGATGACCCGATAATGGATCTGAAATGCGGAAGCAAAAGAAAAACAACGGTCTCTAGAGATACAACATGACTCTAAGACACCAATGTGACACTCAATGAGATCACGGAACCCAAAGGAAACAAATGCGGAAACAACATTTCAAAAACGGACAAGAATGAACCTAGGGGCAAAAACGTCATTTCTAGCTTAAAAGTGGGTGCTACCGAGCACACCATTGGAAAGAAAACAAAAAATCAATGAACTTAGACTCATAAATCACTTGATTCGGAGTCCGGATGAAGAAGATATGGCTAACGGAAGAAGAAGGGGCAAAACGGTCAAAAAGTACCAGCCCAAGAATATCTAACCGGTTGCCACACCTTCCTAACCGGTTAGAAGACCAAAAAAATCAACCAAAACACTGCCCACACTCATCTAACCGGTTATGAAACCCCATTTAACCATTTAGATGTAAAGGAGGCAGAATGGGCAACAAGAAATACTAGCAACACGGGTTTTTCTGAAAAAAAAAGGAAATTTTAGGGCCTATATGACATTTTCTGGAAAAACACAAAGAAGAAACCCCCCTCAAAATTGCGTTTTCTATGTAATGAGTGAGGGAAATTGAAAAGTACACACTGTGAAATGCCTAAAATGCCCTCCCAAGAAATTTGGTCCAGAGGATCGAAAAAATTGCTAAATGGAAAAACAGAAGCTGAACTTCAGAAATGGTTTCCGATGCCAAGACGACATTTTCAGGAAAAACACAAAGAATAACCCCCCCCCCCCCCCAAATCACATTTTCTAAGTGGCCATGTGAAGAACGGAATTTATTTCCCAAAAAAAATTCCCAAAATACCCTTAGGTCAGATTATGCAACAAAAGTGTAAAATGAGTCCGTAGGAGGCTCATTTCACCAAAGAAGAAGCTTTGGCCGGAAACGACCATGCACGCAAACGTAACTTACCTAATAAGATGTGTTACAATGGTCCACGGCTTAAAAATACCGCCGTTACAAAATATGACCCCCCAACGGCCAAAAAGGCGAAAATGAGTTTGGAACGAAAACTTGGAACTTAAAATTATGAAATGGTTTCGAAATACCGTTTGGCCCTTGGCTACACTTCATACATGATAAATGAATTCTAGATAATGAATTTCATACACAATGCACGCTCCGGTGCAAAATAGCATACTAAAACGCATAATTTTTTCATACATTCTCATTAAAGGTAAAAATTAACATCCATATCATAAATGTATTTCCAAAATAAGCTTGGCCCTTGGCCTCATGTCATATACATAATATGATAATCAAAAAGTATGCTTGGGCACACATTACAAGTTTAGAACTAAATTTACACATTTGACAAATAAGACCACAATTGGCATTTTGAGCCAACCTTCACAAAAATGGAAGTCTTCAAGTCCACAAACTATCCATGCATAATGTGAACCTCGAACCCTGATTCTTGTGCCT